GCAAAGCTTCGCTTTGGTTGTGAGTGCCAAGTCTTTGCCAAGTCTGCGTGAAGTTTGTTAGCAGCTGACTGGAAGAGCTTCGTGGACGTGAGGCTGCAACTGGGAGTTTCAAGCTTGGTTGTGAAGGTCTCGAAGTTTTTCGCTTTCCCAAGCCAAGCATTCCATTGTGTCACTCAGGTTTCCCTTGTGGAGATTTGCGTAGCTTCGTTCATACAAGGTTCATCAATGTTTGGTTGAGGGTCCAGCGAGTGCGTACACTGACCTTCCCATATTCGATGTTTTTGAATATGTGATTGGAACATGTGATTTGCATTTTTGCACTTTGGCAATTGCTTTTGTCCACACAGAGATATTGTCGAATGTGGTGATGAGTGTGTGATGGTATGGAGTGATGTTGGATGCAAAATATACAAAGGGGGTCTGCCAATGGTACAATGTTCATGCAGCAAGTTTCAACTCCATAATGCGGGCTGCAGTTGCTTGAAACAAATACTGTTGGGTTCGACGAATGGAATTATCCAGTTGCACTGGCTGAAAACTTAAAACGTTGGGCGTTGTTCCGAGCGTTGTTGCGAAAGCTCCTCGTGAGGGAGCTTCGTTCATTACCTCACAGAATGAGCTTGGGGGTATCGGGGGTGCGGGGGAAGGGGTGGGCGGATGGTGGGTTTTTTCGGCTAAGGTGCCTGTGTCCTTTTTGGGAAGTGGCCTTTTAGACGTCCAAAAAAAAACAGGCCTCCTTTGATGCTGCTGATGCTGGCCTGCGCGTGTCGGTCCACATGTCGCAACGTGACATGTTGTTCTCTGCATTTTTTGGCTGCGGGCTCGGCGAGCTTCGACGGCGCAGCAGGGGCCGCACGAAAATCACTTCTGTGTCTCTTCGTGAGCTCCGTGTCGCCAGCCCTGCCCATGCTAAAGCTTTCGTCCCAGCCCGTGGCTGCCAAGTTTCTTGTTTCTGAAAGCAGAGAAAGCTTTGGGAAAGTCCGCAAAAGCTTCAACCACTGTAGGCACGCTTTGTCTTGGATACAGTGCTTGCGCAGAAAGTCGACAAAGTGTGACCTTTCCAAAAGCAGTTCTCCGCCTTGGTGTTTTGCGATTTGAGAGATCCAAAATTGCATTCAAAAAGGTTGCATATTGTGAGAAACAGGCCAAAACTGGGCCCGGATATAGGGTCTTCTATTAATTTCGAAGGCACCAAAAAATATTCGGGGGTACAACAACGACCTTCATCTTAACTTTAAAACTTGTTTTGTAAAGTGAACATGCAATTTCAGGATTGGGCAGAAAGGCAACAATGGAGCGGGTTGCATGACTTTTGCAACATTTTCGCGCAGTTGGAGTGTGTTCAAGCAAGATTCAACTTGTTTTCGAACATAGCGTCACACCAGCACGCCAAGAGTTGCGGACGAATTGTGGTAGTGTTTCGTGGCCTGGCCAGAATCGCAAGCGTCCGACATGGTCCCATGAAGGGCGCTTTGAGTACACTGAGCGCAAACAGCGCTAGGGTACTGACGCTCCAAGGGCAGCTGATCCAAGAAGTCGTTCTTGCAGAGGAGCTGCAAAAAGCAGAGGACCAGCAGGAGCGGTGCTTGCGGCGTCTCGAAGCGGAGGTTCTGGCTGAGGCGCCGTGGGAACTGAGCCTTGAACCCTTGAGCCAGGTTCAGACCTAAGGTCTAGCATTTTCCGATTGTTTCAGCAAGCGGAGCAGCAAGCCCCTAAGTACGTAAAACAGGGTCGGATATCGTCGTCGTCATACTAGTAGAACAGTCGTCGGAGCCGTAGTCGTAGTGGTAATCGTAGGCGTCGTAGGAGGAGCAATACAAGCAGTCCCCTCCTCCTCCTCCTGCTCCTCCCCCCCGTCCTCCTCCCTCCTCCTCCTTCCAAACGCCGCGCTGAAAGCTTGCATGTCTTGAGTCCGGCGCTGCTTGTTCACTGATGGCAGGTGCAGGTTCGAAGATGTAGTTTGGGGCGTGAAAGCCCTTCGACCACTTCGCGCAGCCAGCATCCGCAGCTTGGTTTTTCTGAGCTTTGCTTGGCAATGCCTGGTGCTTGGGCATTGCGGTTGAAAGGTTGCAGGGGCTTTTCGGAGGCTGCAGTTGCGGCTTGCCCGAATGGAATTGGATGCGCAGGCGTTGCAAGAGGCCAGGTGCGATCGCTTTGATTCCGATCTATTGTTGTGATCCTTCGATGCTGTTCCAGGGTGCGGCCAACGCAGAAGTCCTCGAGTATCTCCACGTGCTCCTCACGCTTTTTTGAATCTCATTCTTTTGTGTGGAGCCGTGACACCAGGCTGAAGAGCAGCGGCTGAGTGACGAAACGAGGAACCGGAGTGTGCTTGTGCTTCCAGGCATTTAAGTTTCTTGGCAGCCCGTGGCAGTCATAGTTTGAACTCGCAAAGCTGGCGGCCCGTCAGATACGTACACGGCATGTGGGTTCCCATCTGCTGGCAGCAGATTGTGACACCAGCAGCCACCTGGTGTTCGCCGTCGGCAGCTCCCATCTCATCCGCACTGATGCGCACCGCCTTGCTGCAGCCAGGAGCAAGCGCAACAGCGAGCAGGCTGCATTCGAGGACGCGGTGGGAGCCGTCCGTCTGTGTGTGTGTGTGTGGCTGCTTTCAAGCCACGCTGGCCTTTGTGCAGGAGGTGGAAAAACAACGCTCCGAGATGTTGTCTCTGAAGGCAGAGTGTAGCTTTCCCAGACTTGAAATGCACTGAGGCTGAGGATTAGGTTCAGGCTACGGTGGGATGCGATCTTTGCCAAGGCTCGGCAGCGTCGGTTTCAGTGGAGCATCCCCCCAACGAGGCCATGGCTCATCATCGCTCCAGGAACTCCATTTCCAGAGAAACTGGAATGTAATGCGGCAAGAGAGGTGGTCGAGCATGAGCTCCGCAATTCTCTTCCTCCCGGGCATCCGGCTCTGCGGGGGCCCAACACATGTTGAATTGTGTCTGGCATGTCCAGGGCTGTGTGATTTTCAGAACTTTGGTGGAGGTCATCATAGTCATCATGTGCAATGATCCGAGAGGTGTCCTCCTTCTTTTGTGAAGTGAGTAGAAGTGCGCAGAGATGTGGCAGCGCCACCAGACCGATCTTCCTCTACATTTCGAAAAATCCAAACAATCGGGCCGGGCCACGATTAACAAACTCGCCGGGACGGCCACGCACACACGACTTCACGTGTTAAACCCGCCGACATCCGCGAAAGAGTCACGATTTCACGGATCAACATGTCTCAACATGCTGCCGGCGCCAAAATCAGCCTGCTCTAGCTATTCTCAGTCTGTTTTATTTAGACTTCTTTCCAAAGTAAGTGCGCGGTCATCCTTCCCCCGATCCCTCCAGCCCTCTGACCCAGAGAACTGCCGGAGTTTTCAAACCTGTCGAAGCCTGCACTTTAATCAGTGGACGGCTTCCAACCGCCCACCTGTCCGACCTTCGCAGTGGCGTTCCTTCCATCGTCATTGGCACACAGCGGGAAGAAAAGACTTGCAGAAGCAAGAAGGACTCCGAGGAGACGGGCGCCTGTATCGACGGAGTGTAGTGACAGCAACGCTTTCGCACGGCCCCTGCTGCCGTTGCAAAGGCGGCTGAAGCGCTTCGATGACCTTCTCGCAGCATTGGAGCTTGAGCCGTTCCCCGAGCATCCAGTGTTCCAAGTTCGAAGCGACCCCCTTCACATCCGTAGCCCAAGCCATCCCAAGCCCAAGCGGAGGAAGGAAGAGATTCTGGAAGAGCTTCGTGAAGATTCTGGGCTGTGGCAGGCCCGGGCTGCGCCTGTCACTCGTGGTGCGGCTGCTTGCCGAGTCTAGGCTCAGCGAGAAGTGGAAGAGTCCGGTTCTCGGCGACGAGCGCGGACGGAGGTTTCGAGACACCAGTCCCAGGCTCTCTGGCCAGCTTCTCCTGCTGGAGGCGCACACGAGAGCCGACTTTCACTTTTGCGAGCCCGTTGTCTGCGAATCCAAAGCCTGGGCGCGAGAGGAGGCCACCCGCCGCCGAATTCAGCAGAGCCAGGCGGCCTTCGGCTCAGTCGAATCGAAGAATATCGAAGAATCAAAGGTGGGCTAAGGCCAGCGGCAAGATGTGCAGGGATTGGGGCATGTCAGAGTTCCTGGACGTTGTATGCCCTTCACGAGATGTGTTTGCGGCCTGCGGCGCCAGTCGGTTTTGGTAGCAATTGTACTCGCTCTCAAGACTCGGGGGTGTATCAACGAGCACAGGAGTGACTGCAATGGAAGAATGCAAGAAGTGAGAGTTGCTCTGAGCTGCAGCATCGTGCTCTGCGGGGTTGGTGCCGCCATGCATCTTGCGAGGTCCAGCGCCGGATCCAGCAAGCAGGCGTCTTGTGATGTCTGCATTCCCGCAGTTGGTGGCATTTTGCATCGACTTCCTGATCTATCCTGATCTCCTGCCTTGGCAGGGCCCGCAGTGGCAGAAGTTGATGACTTGCATGCCCAGGCGCATGCTGGGCTGTCTGTTAATTTGGAGATACTATAGGATAAGCATTGTGGAGTCTATAGAATCCAGCCCCGCCGCTGAGGATTAGGAGGCTCTAATGGATTGGCGTGGTTTTGAATACGAGGCCATGCGCGGAATACTTGATTTCAGTACACCTCGACTTATCAGGTTTTGGTATCCGGGGTGAAGGGTTGCAAGCCGAGAAGGCGAGGGCCGAAGATTTTAATTCGTCGGTGAGACTCTTAGGTCCTGACGTGAGTTGCACGTGCCGAGGCAGCGGCGCTCGAGAAGGAGAACGAGATCCTGAGCCGACAACAGGCTGCGGCCCTGTGCGCCGTACTGTCGTGTCCTGTGTCAGTGTGCTGTTCGGAGGTGGAGTGGCATCGCTCGCAGAACTTGATGTCTTCAGCCCAGGCTCTCGCAGGGACCGCAGTGTTTTGCAGATCCTGGGACCTCCAGGCTCCGCCTCGCAGAGGAGAAGGTTCCTCCGAATCGCCCAGAGTCAGGCGTTTTGCGCGGGATGGGAGACGCGAAAACCGCCGCGTGGCCCGCGCCGCGTGGCCGCGTCCCCCGCCAGGACCGCAAGGCCGGGGCCGCGCCCTCGGGGCCCAGGCCCAGGCC